TGTGTGTCACTGAGAGAGGAGTGTTTACTTAGCGAGTGAGAAAGGAAGAGGAGCAGGGTTCATCTTTGACCCTACATTGTCGGATCGCAGCGGTGCTTCTGTACACAGCAGCTATTTAAAGACTGTCCTCTCCTCTCCTGATTCCACAACAGCTCAGCTCAGCTTTGAACATTCTGTCTGTGTGGCGCTATCTGCTCAATGCACAGGGAATCAATCGCTATAACTACAGTACTGACCTAGAAAAAAAATCACTCTACATGCAGTACTAAATCAGTTTTGGGTGGAAAAAAAAGATCTTGCTCCACAGAATATATAGCTAGTGGTAAACGTATTAAACCCATAACAATCTACATAAATAATCATCTGGAATGGACCACCACACAAGATAACAATACCATTCAGATAGTTCATGGCTCTCTGATTTCATCTGTCTATAGTCCGTCCTCCCTCCCCCCTTCTCTCTCTCCCTCCCTCCCCCCTCTCTCCCTCCCTCCCCCCCTCTCTCTCTCCTCCCCTCACTCTCTCTCTCCCTCCCTCCTCCTCTCTCTCCCCTCCCCCCCCCCTCTCTCTCTCTCCCCTCCCCCCTCTCCCTCTCCTCTCCACTCCCTCCCCCCCTCCTCCTCTCCCTCCCTCCTCTCTCTCCCTCCTCCCCCCCCCTCTCTCCCTCCCTCCCCCCTCCTCCCTCCCTCACCTCCTCTCTCCTCCCTCTCCCCCCCCCCCTCTCCTCCCTCCCCCTCTCTCCTCCCTCCCCTCTCTCTCCCTCCCTCCCTCCCCCCTCTCCTCTCCCCCCTCTCTCCCTCTCCTTCGTCTTTCTCCTCTTCTCTCTTCCACCATTTTCCCGCTGCCCCTACCTCTCTTGTCTTGGTCCGTCCTCTCGTCCCTGTTCTTCTTCCTCGTTGTTCTCATTCTTCTTCATGTCTCCCCCTGCTGTTCGTTTCATCGTCTCCTTCTCCTTTCCTGTTCAGTTTGTTCGTTTCTGCTCTTCATTTCAGTCGTGTGTTCGTGTGTGTCAGTGTTCGGGTTCGCCCAGTGTTGTTTCAGTGTGTGTCGTGTGTGTTTCATCGTGTCGTGTGTGTTTCAGTGTGTTTGTTTCAGTGTGTGTTCAGTGTCGTGTGTGTGTTTCAGTGTGTCGTGTGTGTCAGTTGTCATGTGTCGTGGTGTTTCAGTGTGTCAGTGTGTTTCTAGTGTGTCCAGGTGTGTTTCAGTGTGTGTGTTTCAGTGTGTGTGTTTTCAGTGTGCGGTGTGTGTTTCAGTGTGTCGTGTGTTTTCATGTGTAGTGTGTCAGTGTGGTGTGTGTTTCAGTGTGTGTGGTTTTCAGTGTGTGTGTTCAGTGTGTGTGTGTGTGTGTTTCAGTGTGTGTGTTAGTGTGTGTTTCAGTGTTCAGTTGTGTGGTGTTTTCAGTGTGTGTGTTTATTCAGTGTGTGTGTGTGTTTCAGTTGGTCGTGTGTTTCAGTGTGTCATGTTGTTTCAGTGTGTGTTGTTTCAGTGTGTGTTCAGTGGGTGTGTGTTTTTCATGTGTGTGTGTGTTTCAGTGTTTCAGTGTGTGTGTGTTTCAGTGTGTGTGTTTTTCAGTGTGTTGTGTTTTCAGTGTGTGTGTGTGTGTGTTCAGTGTTCAGTGTGGTGTGTTTCAGTTTGTTTCAGTGTGTTTCAGGGTGTGTTTCAGTGTGTGTTTCAGTGTGTGTTTCAGTGTGTGTGTGTGTGTGTGTTTTCAGTGTGTCAGTGTGTGTTTCAGTGTGTGTTTGTTTCAGTGTGTGTGTGTGTGTGTTTCAGTGTGTGTTTCAGTGTGTGTGTGTGTGTTTCAGTGTGTCAGTGTGTGTGTGTGTTTCAGTGTGTGTGTGTGTGTTTCAGTGTCAGTGTGTGTTTCAGTGTGTCAGTGTGTGTGTGTTTTTTCAGTGTGTCAGTGTGTGTTTTTCAGTGTGTCAGTGTGTGTTTCAGTGTGTCATGTGTTGTTTCAGTGTGTCAGTGTGTGTTTCAGTGTGTGTGTGTTTGTGTGGCCTTTCCTCTCAAGCCTACTGGAGCACAAAGGACAATCTATCACTTCCTCTGAGGCAGCAGCCAAGACTGGCAACCTGGCACTCTCTCTCTACTCTGACACACACACACACACACACACACACACACACACACACACACAGTAAACAGAGACATACACAGGCTCACGTACACATTACTGTACACAGGCGTGCATACACACACTTCCTCCTTGGTGCCCAGCTGAGGAGAGTAGAGCTCTGCATCTATTGACCCCTAACCCCTGACCCTTACCGTCATCAGTCCTCCCACCAGGTCGTTAGTATGGGGGTCTTCCTCCTTGGTGCCCAGCTGAGGAGAGTAGAGCTCTGCATCTATTGACCCCTGACCCTTACCGTCATCAGTCCTCCCACCAGGTCGTTAGTATGGGGGTCTTCCTCCTTGGTGCCCAGCTGAGGAGAGTAGAGCTCTGTGGTCCTCAGGATCTCCAGGACCCGGTCCAGGGCCTCTGCTACAGGCATAGGACTAGACTCCTGGGCCGCGTTGATGATGTTGATCACCTGGAGGGACGAGGGGGTTCAGTGAGTATCATTTGTATTTATCTCTGTCATCTTTCTATATGTTTACTGTGGCCATGTACAGTATGTGGTAAACAAATGTATGCCAATAAAACATTTGAATTAGAGCGAGAGAAAGAAAGATATCATGGTTAGATACAGAAAGATATCATGGTTAGATACAGAAAGATATCATGGTTAGATACAGAAAGATATCATGGTTAGATACAGAAAGATATCATGGTTAGATACAGAAAGATATCATGGTTAGATACAGAAAGATATCATGGTTAGATACAGAAAGATATCATGGTTAGATACAGAAAGATATCATGGTTAGATACAGAAAGATATCATGGTTAGATACAGAAAGATATCATGGTTAGATACAGAGAGATATCATGGTTAGATACAGAGAGATATCATGGTTAGATACAGAGAGATATCATGGTTAGATACAGAGAGATACATGGTAATACAGAAATGACGCCTAATAAAGGAAAGACAAGTATAAGGTAGAAGTTCTGACTCTTTATAGCAATTTTATCAAGTGTTTCTACTATGCCAGCTGAGGAGAGTGGAGTAGTTTTCTCGCAGATACTGAGGAGGTGGAGAGTTTCTACAGCCAGAGACTGAGGGAGGTGGATAGTTTGATACACCTGGCCAGAGACTGAGGAGAGGTGGGATAGTTTCTACTACAGACCAGAGACTGAGGAGAGGTTGGGTACAGTATTATACAACCAAGCTGAGAGTAGGTGGAGAGTTTATATACAGCAAGACTGAGGAAGTGGTTAGTTATACACAGCCAGAGACTGATGAGAGGTGGGAGTAGTTATATCAGGTAGAACTGAGGAAGAGTGGAGTATTTTACTACAAGCAGAGACTGAGAATGGAGTAGTTCTACTACAGCAGAGACTGAGGAGATGGATAGTTATATACAGCCAAGACTGAGGAGAGTGGATATTTTATACTACAGCAGAGACTGAGGAGAGTGGATAGTTTTACTACAGAACTGAGAGATGGAGTAGTTTTACTCAGCCAGAGACTGAGGAGAGGTGGGAGTAGTTTCTACTACAGCCAGAGACTGAGGAGAGGTGGGAGTAGTTTCTACTACAGCCAGAGACTGAGGAGAGGTGGGAGTAGTTTATACTACAGCCAGAGACTGAGGAGAGGTGGGAGTAGTTTCTACTACAGCCAGAGACTGAGGAGAGGTGGGAGTAGTTTTACTACAGCCAGAGACTGAGGAGAGGTGGGAGTAGTTTATACTACAGCCAGAGACTGAGGAGAGGTGGGAGTAGTTTATACTACAGCCAGAGACTGAGGAGAGGTGGGAGTAGTTTCTACTACAGCCAGAGACTGAGGAGAGGTGGGAGTAGTTTCTACTACAGCCAGAGACTGAGGAGAGGTGGGAGTAGTTTATACTACAGCCAGAGACTGAGGAGAGGTGGGAGTAGTTTATACTACAGCCAGAGACTCAGGAGAGGTGGGAGTAGTTTTCTACTACAGCCAGAGACTGAGGAGAGGTGGGAGTAGTTTCTACTACAGCCAGAGACTGAGGAGAGGTGGGAAGTAGTTTTCTACTACAGCCAGAGGACTGAGGAGAGGTGGGAGTAGTTTCTACTACAGCCAGAGACTGGGGAGAGGTGGGAGTAGTTTATACTACAGCCAGAGACTGAGGAGAGGTGGGAGTAGTTTCTACTACAGCCAGAGACTGGGGAGAGGTGGGAGTAGTTTCTACTACAGCCAGAGACTGAGGAGAGGTGGGAGTAGTTTCTACTACAGCCAGAGACTGAGGAGAGGTGGGAGTAGTTTCTACTACAGCCAGAGACTGAGGAGAGGTGGGAGTAGTTTATACTACAGCCAGAGACTGAGGAGAGGTGGGAGTAGTTTCTACTACAGCCAGAGACTGAGGAGAGGTGGGAGTAGTTTCTACTACAGCCAGAGACTGGGGAGAGGTGGGAGTAGTTTCTACTACAGCCAGAGACTGAGGAGAGGTGGGACAATTGTAGGAACTGACAGAACTAACTTCATGCAGCTGTATACAGTTTGCACACACACACACACACACACACACACACACACACACACACACACACAGCATAAAGATATCAGCACACATCATCAGCAGCTCCTCCCATTGCTTTATTCTAGGAGGGAACAGCTACAGGGATTGACTACAGTGTCATGTGACGAAACTCAGGAACTCCCCGCAGTCATGTGACAGAAACTTGGGGACTAGGAGTGGTCATGTGACGGAACCTTGGGGACTAGGAGTGGTCATATGACAGAACCTTGGGGACTAGGAGTGGTCATGTGACGGAACCTTGGGGACGAGGATTTATCATGTGACGGAACCTTGGGGACGAGGATTTATCATGTGACGGAACTTTGAGTACCACAGAGATCCTATTAAATGACTATATTACTATATACTAAATGACGGAGTTGTGTAAGTAATTCAATGAAACGTAGCTACCTTGGTGATTGGAGCTTCGATGGTCATGGAGTGGATTCTGGCCATGGAGGAGTGCCTTCTCTGCGAACTGCCTGTAAACACGAGGACAAACTCAACCACAACTAAGCTTTATACCAAAGATACATCAGCAAATAACACAATGGCTTACAGACTATTTACTAACTGTTTTACTAACTACATACTAATGGGAACCATCCTAAATTAGGTCTATTTACTAACTGTTTTACTAACTACGTACTAATGGGAACCAGACTAAATTAGGTCTATTTACTAACTGTTTTACTAACTACGTACTAATGGGAACCAGCCTAAATTAGGTCTATTTACTAACTGTTTTACTAACTACGTACTAATGGGAACCAGCCTAAGTTAGGTCTATTTACAAACTGTTTTACTAACTACATACTAATGGGAACCATCCTAAATTAGGTCTATTTACTAACTGTTTTACTAACTACGTACTAATGGGAACCAGCCTAAATTAGGTCTATTTACTAACTGTTTTACTAACTACGTACTAATGGGAACCAGCCTAAATTAGGTCTATTTACTAACTGTTTTACTAACTACGTACTAATGGGGACCATCCTAAATTAGGTCTATTTACTAACTGTTTTACTAACTACGTACTAATGGGAACCAGCCTAAATTAGGTATATTTACAAACTGTTTTACTAACTACATACTAATGGGAACCATCCTAAATTAGGTCTATTTACTAACTGTTTTACTAACTACGTACTAATGGGAACCATCCTAAATTAGGTCTATTTACTAACTGTTTTACTAACTACGTACTAATGGGAACCAGCCTAAATTAGGTCTATTTACTAACTGTTTTACTAACTACGTACTAATGGGAACCAGCCTAAATTAGGTATATTTACTAACTGTTTTACTAACTACGTACTAATGGGAACCAGCCTAAATTAGGTCTATTTACTAACTGTTTTACTAACTACGTATAATGGGAACCAGCCTAAATTAGGTCTATTTACTAACTGTTTTACTAACTACGTACTAATGGGAACCAGCCTAAGTTAGGTCTATTTACTAACTGTTTTACTAACTACGTACTAATGGGAACCAGCCTAAATTAGGTCTATTTACTAACTGTTTTACTAACTACGTACTAATGGGAACCAGCCTAAATTAGGTCTATTTACTAACTGTTTTACTAACTACGTATTAATGGGAACCAGCCTAAATTAGGTATATTTACAAACTGTTTTACTAACTACGTACTAATGGGAACCAGCCTAAATTAGGTCTATTTACTAACTGTTTTACTAACTACGTACTAATGGGAACCAGCCTAAATTAGGTCTATTTACTAACTGTTTTACTAACTATGTACTAATGGGAACCATCCTAAATTAGGTCTATTTACTAACTGTTTTACTAACTACGTACTAATGGGAACCATCCTAAATTAGGTCTATTTACTAACTGTTTTACTAACTACGTACTAATGGGAACCAGCCTAAATTATGTCTATTTACTAACTGTTTTACTAACTACGTACTAATGGGAACCAGCCTAAATTAGGTCTATTTACTAACTGTTTTACTAACGATGTACTAATGGGAACCAGCCTAAATTAGGTCTATTTACTAACTGTTTTACTAACTACATACTAATGGGAACCATCCTAAATTAGGTCTATTTACTAACTGTTTTACTAACTACGTACTAATGGGAACCATCCTAAATTAGGTCTATTTACTAACTGTTTTACTAACTACATACTAATGGGAACCATCCTAAATTAGGTCTATTTACTAACTGTTTTACTAACTATGTACTAATGGGAACCATCCTAAATTAGGTCTATTTACTAACTGTTTTACTAACTACGTACTAATGGGAACCAGCCTAAATTAGGTCTATTTACTAACTGTTTTACTAACTACGTACTAATGGGGACCATCCTAAATTAGGTCTATTTACTAACTGTTTTACTAACTACGTACTAATGGGAACCAGCCTAAATTAGGTCTATTTACTAACTGTTTTACTAACTACATACTAATGGGAACCATCCTAAATTAGGTCTATTTACTAACTGTTTTACTAACTACGTACTAATGGGAGCCATCCTAAATTAGGTCTATTTACTAACTGTTTTACTAACTACATACTAATGGGAACCATCCTAAATTAGGTCTATTTACTAACTGTTTTACTAACTACGTACTAATGGGAACCAGCCTAAATTAGGTCTATTTACTAACTGTTTTACTAACTACATACTAATGGGAACCATCCTAAATTAGGTCTATTTACTAACTGTTTTACTAACTACGTACTAATGGGAACCATCCTAAATTAGGTCTATTTACTAACTGTTTTACTAACTACATACTAATGGGAACCATCCTAAATTAGGTCTATTTACTAACTGTTTTACTAACTACGTACTAATGGGAACCATCCTAAATTAGGTCTATTTACTAACTGTTTTACTAACTACGTACTAATGGGAACCATCCTAAATTAGGTCTATTTACTAACTGTTTTACTAACTACGTACTAATGGGAACCATCCTAAATTAGGTCTATTTACTAACTGTTTTACTAACTACGTACTAATGGGAACCAGACTAAATTAGGTCTATTTACTAACTGTTTTACTAACTACGTATTAATGGGAACCAGCCTAAATTAGGTCTATTTACAAACTGTTTTACTAACTACGTACTAATGGGAACCAGCCTAAATTAGGTCTATTTACTAACTGTTTTACTAACTACGTACTAATGGGAACCAGCCTAAATTAGGTCTATTTACTAACTGTTTTACTAACTATGTACTAATGGGAACCATCCTAAATTAGGTCTATTTACTAACTGTTTAACTAACTACGTACTAATGGGAACCATCCTAAATTAGGTCTATTTACTAACTGTTTTACTAACTACGTACTAATGGGAACCAGCCTAAATTATGTCTATTTACTAACTGTTTTACTAACTACGTACTAATGGGAACCAGCCTAAATTAGGTCTATTTACTAACTTTTTTACTAACGATGTACTAATGGGAACCAGCCTAAATTAGGTCTATTTACTAACTGTTTTACTAACTACATACTAATGGGAACCATCCTAAATTAGGTCTATTTACTAACTGTTTTACTAACTACGTACTAATGGGAACCAGCCTAAATTAGGTCTATTTACTAACTGTTTTACTAACTACATACTAATGGGAACCATCCTAAATTAGGTCTATTTACTAACTGTTTTACTAACTATGTACTAATGGGAACCATCCTAAATTAGGTCTATTTACTAACTGTTTTACTAACTACGTACTAATGGGAACCAGCCTAAATTAGGTCTATTTACTAACTGTTTTACTAACTACGTACTAATGGGAACCATCCTAAATTAGGTCTATTTACTAACTGTTTTACTAACTACGTACTAATGGGAACCAGCCTAAATTAGGTCTATTTACTAACTGTTTTACTAACTACATACTAATGGGAACCATCCTAAATTAGGTCTATTTACTAACTGTTTTACTAACTACGTACTAATGGGAACCATCCTAAATTAGGTCTATTTACTAACTGTTTTACTAACTACATACTAATGGGAACCATCCTAAATTAGGTCTATTTACTAACTGTTTTACTAACTACGTACTAATGGGAACCAGCCTAAATTAGGTCTATTTACTAACTGTTTTACTAACTACATACTAATGGGAACCATCCTAAATTAGGTCTATTTACTAACTGTTTTACTAACTACGTACTAATGGGAACCATCCTAAATTAGGTCTATTTACTAACTGTTTTACTAACTACATACTAATGGGAACCATCCTAAATTAGGTCTATTTACTAACTGTTTTACTAACTACGTACTAATGGGAACCATCCTAAATTAGGTCTATTTACTAACTGTTTTACTAACTACGTACTAATGGGAACCATCCTAAATTAGGTCTATTTACTAACTGTTTTACTAACTACGTACTAATGGGAACCATCCTAAATTAGGTCTATTTACTAACTGTTTTACTAACTACGTACTAATGGGAACCAGACTAAATTAGGTCTAAAAAGAGTCTAAATGAGAAAAGAGACGAGGAGAGACCAGGAGAGGAAGACTTCACCGTAGACGCAACGACACTGGCTTTTTCCTCACTAGTCACATGTCATGATAAGTATCTATCTCCAAAGATGTGTCCAATAAACAAGTAGAAGTCAAATAATAATAATAATCAACTAATATTAATACATTTAATTTGTAACGCTGTTTTAATAGAAAAACAGGTGCTCAACAGAAGACTTGTCTTTCATAAGGTCTCTAGAATATTTCCATAGTCTCCCTCTCTGTCCCACTCCTCTCACCATCGCTCCCTCGAGACGTAGTTGATCTGACATCCAACGAGCCTTTCCTCCGGTCCTTATGCTTACTGGACTGGATGTCTAGGGAGGGGAAAACACACACACAGGCACACACACACACACGTTTGTTTTACTATCCTTGTGTGGACCCAAACAATTGATTCCCATTCAAAATCCTATTTTCCCTAAACCTTAACCCCTAACCCTAACTCGAATCCCTAATTTTAACCCTAACCCTAACCACTAAGCCTAAAATAGCCTTTTTCCTTGTGGTCCCAACAGGACTTCAGGTCCCAACAGGACTTCAGGTCCCAACAAGGATAGTAAAACCAAAACTTACACAGGTCATCCTTCAGGTATGTTCTGTATGTCCTTCTAGTTACAGGTATGTTCTGTATGTCCTTCTAGTTACAGGTATGTTCTATATGTCCTTCTAGTTACAGCAGGTATGTTCTGTATGTCCTTCTAGTTACAGGTATGTTCTATATGTCCTTCTAGTTACAGGTATGTTCTATATGTCCTTCTAGTTACAGCAGGTATGTTCTGTATGTCCTTCTAGTTACAGGTATGTTCTGTATGTCCTTCTAGTTACAGGTATGTTCTGTATGTCCTTCTAGTTACAGGTATGTTCTGTATGTCCTTCTAGTTACAGGTATGTTCTATATGTCCTTCTAGTTACAGCAGGTATGTTATGTATGTCCTTCTAGTTACAGGTATGCTCTGTATGTCCTTCTAGTTACAGGTATGTTCTGTATGTCCTTCTAGTTACAGGTATGTTCTGTATGTCCTTCTAGTTACAGGTATGTTCTGTATGTCCTTCTAGTTACAGCAGGTATGTTCTGTGTGTCCTTCTAGTTACAGCAGGTATGTTCTGTATGTCCTTCTAGTTACAGGTATGTTCTGTATGTCCTTCTAGTTACAGCAGGTATGTTCTGTGTGTCCTTCTAGTTACAGCAGGTATGTTCTGTATGTCCTTCTAGTTACAACAGGTATGTTCTGTATGTCCTTCTAGTTACAGGTATGTTCTGTATGTCCTTCTAGTTACAGGTATGTTCTGTATGTCCTTCTAGTTACAGCAGGTATGCTCTGTATGTCCTTCTAGTTACAGGTATGCTCTGTATGTCCTTCTAGTTACAGGTATGTTCTGTATGTCCTTCTAGTTACAGGTATGTTCTGTATGTCCTTCTAGTTACAGGTATGTTCTGTATGTCCTTCTAGTTACAGCAGGTATGCTCTGTATGTCATTCTAGTTACAGGTATGTTCTGTATGTCCTTCTAGTTACAGGTATGCTCTGTATGTCCTTCTAGTTACAGGTATGCTCTGTATGTCCTTCTAGTTACAGGTATGTTCTGTATGTCCTTCTACATTTACATTTACGTCATTTAGCAGACACTCTTATCCAGAGCGACTTACATTATTATTATTTTTTTCATACCCCCTGTGGGAATCGAACCCACAACCCTGGCGTTGCAAACGCCATGCTCTATCAACTGAGCTACATCCCTGCCGGCCATTCCCTCCCCTACCCTGGACGACGCTGGGCCAATTGCGCGCCGCCCCATGGGTCTCCCGGTCACGGCCGGCTACGACAGAGCCTGGATACGAACCAGGATCTCTAGTGGCACAGCTAGCACTGCGATGCAGTGCCTTAGACCACTGCGCCACTCAGGATATAAGATTCTAGTTACAGGTATGTTCTGTATGTCCTTCTAGTTACAGGTATGTTCTGTATGTCCTTCTAGTTACAGCAGGTATGTTCTATATGTCCTTCTAGTTACAGCAGGTTTGTTCTGTATGTCCTTCTAGTTACAGGTATGTTCTGTATGTCCTTCTAGTTACAGGTATGTTCTGTATGTCCTTCTAGTTACAGGTATGTTCTGTATGTCCTTCTAGTTACAGGTATGTTCTGTATGTCCTTCTAGTTACAGGTATGTTCTGTATGTCCTTCTAGTTACAGGTATGTTCTGTATGTCCTTCTAGTTACAGGTATGCTCTGACACACATGACAACCAACCAACTGGAAGGAAAATAACATATATACCCTACTCCCTCAGTAGTACTACAAGGTTAGGGTAGAGGTTTCCCCTTACCACAGATCTAGGATCAGGTTACACTTATTCCAATCCTAACCTTAATCATTAACGGGATGAACATACAGCTGACCCTGCATCATTGGTTAGGGGCAATTTCTACTCCCACGCTTTTCCACGGATAACATCAGTAACTCTTAGCCTCCGTCTAAACATGCATTAGATAATATTGCATTACTCTTCCTCAACTTTAGCTTGTATACATTGTAGTAAAACATGAGAGAGACAGACAGACAGAGAGATAAACAGAGAGAGACAGAGAGAGAGACAGAGAGAGACAGAGAGAGAGAAACAGAGAGAGACAGAGAGAGAGATAGAGAGAGAGACACAGAGAGACAGAGACAGAGAGAGAGAGAGAAAGAGAGAGAGAGAGAGAGAGAGAGAGAGAGTGAGACAGAGGGAGACAGAGAGAGACAGAGAGAGACAGAGACACAGAGAGAGACAGAGAGAGAGAGACAGAGACAGAGAGAGAGAGAGAGACAGACAGAGAGACCGAGAGAGAGAGACAGAGACAGGGAGACAGAGACAGAGAGACAGGGAGACAGGGACAGAGAATGAGAGACAGAGAGAGACAGAGAGAGAGAGAGAGAGAGAGAGAGAGAGAGAGACAGGGACAGAGAGAGAGACAGGGACAGAGAGAGAGAGACAGAGACAGAGAGAGAGAGACAGGGACAGGGACAGAGAGAGAGAGAGAGAGAGAGAGAGACAGAGACAGAGAGAGAGAGAAAGACAGAGAGACCGAGAGAGAGAGACAGAGACAGGGAGACAGAGACAGAGAGAGAGACAGAGACAGAGAGACAGAGAGAGAGTAAGTACCTGTCTGAGACTCTGCCTGCACTCGTTCACTGGACGTCTAGAGGGGAGAGTAAAGGGATGGACAGACAGAGAGAAAAGGAACAGAACATAATCAGGTGACAAAAGAAATAACTCTTCATCCTGTATTATCTGTTGTGTTCAGGAATCAGCCTCTTACCTTATTCTGATCATTTAAAGGCCTGTGGATAGACACATAGTGTCTGATTTTACTGTTGAAGAAAATAGAAACATTATGAATATAGTGATAATAGATTACCAACAGATATTGTGCCAAGAAAATATTTTGGGCTGTTGAGCCATTTGACCACCATCAAATAATTTCCCAAATAAATAAATAGTTATACTGTAATTTATTGAGACATGTTGTGAACAGCCCTCACCCTCCCTGTCCGATCACAGGTGTGATCTTCACATTTTGTTGGACACTGTCCCCGTTCTTCTTCTTGGCATAATAAATCCCCTGCCACTCCTGGAAGGAAACAGAGGAATAATGAAAAGAGACAATTCACTTCCTATAATAATCTAGGCCCTATGCTACTTAACAGACTCTCACCAGAGCCACAGTGCAGTGAGTGCATTCATTTTAGATATGTGTATCTAGGGTTGCAAAGCTACCGGTAAATTTACTGAAGTTACCGGAATCTTCAGTAATTTTGGTAATTAACAGAAAATCTATGGAACTCTATCGGAACTTCTGCAAGTTATACTTGAATAACTTTAAATAAATTATTAATATATAGTATACATATTTTTTTTATATCTGTGTCCATATTGTCCATGAGTTTATAGCAGATTAACCATAGGGTTCAAGAGAACTGCCACCAGTTTGATGCCAAAACATTGACAACAAAGACATACTGACAGATTTTCTGGATTTTTGTTTTAGATTCTGTCTCTCACAGTTGAAGTGTACCTATGATAAAAATTACAGACCTCTACATGCTTTGTAAGTAGGAAAACCTGCAAAATCGGCAGTGTATCAAATACTTGTTCTCCCCACTGTAGCTACTAGAACTAACACGTTAGTAAGTAAGTTATTGACATAGTAAAATAAATAAAAATGTGTAATAATAAATAAATAAAGGATATTTCATGCTGAAAACCTCATATTAAACCCCCAATGGTTTTTACTACATTTATGGTTTATATTTAGAATAATGTTTTACAACTTTGTCATTCTATTTTCTAATTTTAAATAATCTTATTGAATTATTTCATTTATTTTACATGTGATAAGGCCACACAGAAGGCCAGAGATAATTAGACACCTGTGATCATCTGAAGTACCCAAAAGAGGCCACTAGATGTCTTGTGATAGATTACATAAAATCCTTGAAAGATACCAAAATTCTGGTAGTTTACTGATAAACTTTCCAGTAATATACCCTTCCCTTTGCAACCCTACGTGATCCTCACGGGAATTGAACCAACAACATTGGTGTTACTGGTGTCCCACTCTTACCAACTGAACCACACAGGACCAGTAAACAAAAGGCTGTAGTCTATAATATGTTATAATGGAGAAGTAAATCCAGAGCTGGGTGTTCTAGAGATGATCACCCCAACACGGGGGTCATCCTGAGGCATATCAAAGAATAACCAGACGCTTTATGGGGCAGGACAGAACCAAAATGGCGTCCAGTCAGGTTGTTTCATGTGGGACACCCCTGGTGTGGTGTCTGAGGTTCAAAAGGCAGTTTCCTACTGTTCCTCTGTCTGCCTGTGACCTTCTCTGTCTCTGTACTCACACCACAAACCCAGCCAGCGTCCAGCCTGGATCCAAGCATCTCATCTAACATGGAACACACACACCTCTGTACTCACACCACAAACCCAGCCAGCGTCCAGGGTCTCATCCCACTGCATGAGAAAGGGAGGCTTTCTGGCCGAGCTGAGGGGTCAACACACACACACCTGATATCATAGCGCCGTTATAAACACATAGATACACACTCACCTTTCCTTTCCGTATGCAGGAGTTTATCGTTTCAAGAAGATCAGGCTTATTCTTTTCACTTTTAGGCACTTCTATAATTTCCTTCCCTATTAGTTCGCCTTGCTGGTAACCCATGATGCTCTCGTAGGCAGGGTTCACATACTGTAGAAAAGAGAGAGAGAGAGAGAGAGAGAGAGAGAGAGAGAGAGAGAGAGAGAGAGAGAGAGAGAGAGAGAGAGAGATAGAGAGAGTGACAGAGAGAGACAGAGAGAGACTGTTCCTTTTGACCAGAGCCCACATAGGTAAAATCAGACAAGATAGAAGTGTTGTAATGATGCTGCCTATTCTTATAGTCTGGGCTTTGTTTCTATCCCCCAAAACATTATCTACAAATGTTTTATCCATTGTCATACTGAGAATCAGGTGTCATTAGAGTCTAATAACAACACTAGCATCACACACAGTCCTGTGAGGTTAGCTTAGCTCAGCTAGCTTAGCTCTTCACAACAGCATCACACACAGTCCTGTGAGGTTAGCTTAGCTCAGCTAGCTTAGCTCTTCACAACAGCATTACACACAGTCCTGTGAGGTTAGCTTAGATTAGCTAGCTTAATGAGTGGTACCATTAACACATTGGTAACTCTCATCATGCCAGCAAGGGACACAGACAAAGATAGTCAGCGCTTTCACAGAGAGAGAACATGATAACACTGCTGGAGATGCTATGTGTCTGTACAGTGGCTTGCGAGAGTATTCACCCCCCTTGGAATTTTTCCTATTTTGTTGCCTTACAACCTGGAATTAAAATGGATTTTTTGGGGGGGTTTGTATCATTTGATTTACACAACATGCCTACCACTTTGAAGATGCAAAATATTTTTTATTGTGAAACAAACAATAAATAAGTTTTAAAAAAAACAGAAAACTTGAGCGTGCATAACTATTCACCCCCTCAAAGTCAATACTTTGTAGAGCCACCTTTGGCAGAAATTACAGCTGCAAGTCTCTTGGGGTATGTCTCTATAAGCTTGGCACATCTAGCCACTGGGATTTTTGCCCATTCTTCAAGGCAAAACTGCTCCAGCTCCTTCAAGTTGGATGGGTTCCGCTGGTGTACAGCAATCTAAGTCATACTACATATTTTCAATTGGATTGAGGTCTGGGCTTTGACTAGGCCATTCCAAGACATTTAAATGTTTCCCCTTAAACCACTCGAGTGTTGCTTTAGCAGTATGCTTAGGGTCATTGTCCTGCTGGAAGGTGAACCTCCGTCCCAGTCTCAAATCTCTGGAAGACTGAAACAGGTTTCCCTCAAGAATTTCCCTGTATTTAGCGCCATCCATCATTCCTTCAATTCTGACCAGTTTCCCAGCCCCTGCCGATGAAAAACATCCCCACAGCATGATGCTGCCACCACCATGGTGTTCTCGGGGTGATGAGAGGTGTTGGGTTTGCGCCAGACATAGCATTTTCCTCATAGAGTCTCCCACATGCCTTTTGGTGAACACCAAACGTGTTTGCTTATTTATTTCTTTAAGCAATGGCTTTTTTTCTGGCCACTCTTCTGTAAAGCCCAGCTCTGTGGAGTGTACAGCTTAAAGTGGTCCTATGGACAGATACTCCAATCTCCGCTGTGGAGCTTTGCAGCTTTTTTATCTTTGGTCTCTGTTGCCTCTCTGATTAATGCTCCTTGCCTGGTCCGTGAGTTTTGGTGGGCGGCCCTCTCTTTGCAGGTTTGTTGTGGTGCCATTTTCTTTCAATTTTTTAATAATGGATTTAATGGTGCTCCGTGGGATGTTCAAAGTTTCAGAATTGTTTTAATTACCCAACCCTGATCTGTACTTCTCCACAACTTTGTCCTTGACATGTTTGGAGAGCTCCTTGGTCTTCATGGTGCCGCTTGCTTGGTGGTGCCCCTTGCTTAGTGGTGTTGCAGACTCTGGGGCCTTTCAGAACAGGTGTATATATATATTGAGATCATGTGACAGATCATGTGACACTTAGAGTGCACACAGGGGGACTTTATTTAACTAATTATGTGACTTCTGAAGGTAATTGGTTGCACCAGATCTTATTTAGGGGTTTCATAGCAAAGGGGGTGAATACTTATGCACACACCACTTTTCCGTTATTAATTTTTTGAAACAAGTAATTTTTTTCATTTCACTTCACCAATTTGGACTATTTTGTGTATGTCCATTACATGAAATCCAAATAAAAATCCATTTAAATTACAGGTTGTAATGCAACAAAATAGGAAAAACTCTAGCTGTGTCTCTAACTGTGTCTCCAGCTGTGTCTCTAACTGTGTCTCTAGCTGTGTCTCTAACTGTGTCTCCAGCTGTGTCTCTAACTGTGTCTCCAGCTGTGTCTCCAGCTGTGTCTGTGTCTCTAGCTGTGTCTCCAGCTGTGTCTGTGTCTCCAGCTGTGTCTCCAGCTGTGTCTCTAGCTGTGTCTGTGTCTCTAACTGTGTCTCTAACTGTGTCTCCAGCTGTGTCTCTAGCTGTGTCTCCAGCTGTGTCTGTGTCTCTAACTGTGTCTCTAACTGTGTCTCTAGCTGTGTCTCTAGCTGTGTCTCCAGCTGTGTTTCCAGCTGAGTCTCCAGCTGTGTCTCCAACTGTGTCTCCAGCTGTGTCTCCAGCTGTGTCTCCAGCTGTGTCTCCAGCTGTGTCTCCAGCTGTGTCTCTAGCTGTGTCTCCAGCTGTGTCTCCAGCTGTGTCTCCAGCTGTGTCTCCAGCTGTGTCTCCAACTGTGTCTCCAGCTGTGTCTCCAGCTGTGTCTCCAACTGTGTCTCTAACTGTGTCTCCAGCTGTGTCTCCAGCTGTGTCTCCAGCTGTGTCTCCAGCTGTGTCTCTAGCTGTGTCTCTAGCTGTGTCTCCAGCTGTGTCTCTAGCTGTGTCTCTAGCTGTGTCTGTAGCTGTGTCTCCAGCTGTGTCTCTAGCTGTGTCTCTAGCTGTGTCTGTAGCTGTGTCTTTAACTGTGTCTCTAGCTGTGTCTCCAGCTGTGTCTGTGTCTCTAGCTGTGTCTCCAGCTGTGTCTCCAGCTGTGTCTCTAGCTATGTCTCCAGCTGTGTCTCCAGCTGTGTCTCTAGCTGTGTCTCTAACTGTGTCTGTGTCTCTAGTTGTGTCTCTAGTTGTGTCTCTAGTTGTGTCTCCAACTGTGTCTCTAGCTGTGTCTCTAGCTGTGTCTCCAGCTGTGTCTCCAGCTGTGTCTCTAGCTGTGTCTCTAGCTGTGTCTCTAGCTGTGTCTGTGTCTCTAGCTGTGTCTCCAGCTGTGTCTCTAGCTGTGTCTCCAGCTGTGTCTCTAGCTGTGTCTCCAGCTGTGTCTCTAGCTGTGTCTCCAGCTGTGTCTCTAGCTGTGTCTCTAACTGTGTCTCCAGCTGTGTCTCCAGCTGTGTCTCCAGCTGTGTCTCCAACTGTGTCTCTAACTGTGTCTCTAACTGTGTCTCCAGCTGTGTCTCCAGCTGTGTCTCCAGCTGTGTCTCCAGCTGTGTCTCCAACTGTGTCTCCAGCTGTGTCTCCAGCTGTGTCTCCAGCTGTGTCTCCAACTGTGTCTCTAACTGTGTCTCCAGCTGTGTCTCCAGCTGTGTCTCCAGCTGTGTCTCCAGCTGTGTCTCCAGCTGTGTCTCTAGCTGTGTCTCCAGCTGTGTCTGTGTCTCCAGCTGTGTCTCCAGCTGTGTCTCCAGCTGTGTCTCCAGCTGTGTCTCCAGCTGTGTCTCCAGCTGTGTCTCTAGCTGTGTCTCTAGCTGTGTCTCTAACTGTGTCTCTAGCTGTGTCTGTAGCTGTGTCTGTAGCTGTGTCTGTGTCTCTAGCTGTGTCTCCAGCTGTGTCTCCAACTGTGTCTCCAGCTGTGTCTGTGTCTCTAGCTGTGTCTCCAGCTGTGTCTCTAGCTATGTCTCCAGCTGTGTCTCCAACTGTGTCTCTAGCTGTGTCTCTAGCTGTGTCTCCAGCTGTGTCTCCAGCTGTGTCTCTAACTGTGTCTCTAACTGTGTCTGTGTCTCTAGCTGTGTCTCCAGCTGTGTCTGTGTCTCTAGCTGTGTCTCCAGCTGTGTCTCCAGCTGTGTCTCCAGCTGTGTCTCCAGCTGTGTCTCCAGCTGTGTCTCTAGCTGTGTCTCCAGCTGTGTCTGTAGCTGTGTTTGTAGCTGTGTCTTTAACTGTGTCTCTAGCTGTGTCTCTAGCTGTGTCTCTAGCTGTGTCTCCAGCTGTGTCTGTAGCTGTGTTTGTAGCTGTGTCTTTAACTGTGTCTCTAGCTGTGTCTCTAACTGCGTCTCCAGCTGTGTCTGTGTCTCCAGCTGTGTCTCCAGCTGTGTCTCTAGCTGTGTCTCCAGCTGTGTCTCCAGCTGTGTCTCCAGATGTGTCTCCAGATGTGTCTCCAGCTGTGTCTCCAGCTGTGTCTCCAGCTGTGTCTCCAGCTGTGTCTCCAGCTGTGTCTCTAGCTGTGTCTCCAGCTGTGTCTCTAACTGTGTCTCTAGCTGTGTCTCCAGCTGTGTCTCCAACTGTGTCTCCAGCTGTGTCTGTGTCTCTAGCTGTGTCTCCAGCTGTGTCTCTAGCTATGTCTCCAGCTGTGTCTCCAGCTGTGTCTCTAGCTGTGTCTCTAGCTGTGTCTCCAGCTGTGTCTCCAGCTGTGTCTCCAGCTGTGTCTCTAACTGTGTCTGTGTCTCTAGCTGTGTCTCTAGCTGTGTCTGTGTCTCTAGCTGTGTCTCTAACTGTGTCTGTAGCTGTGTCTTTAACTGTGTCTCTAGCTGTGTCTCCAGCTGTGTCTGTGTCTCTAGCTGTGTCTCCAGCTGTGTCTCCAGCTGTGTCTCCAGCTGTGTCTCCAGCTGTGTCTCCAGCTGTGTCTCTAGCTGTGTCTCTAGCTGTGTCTCCAGCTGTGTCTCCAGCTGTGTCTCTAGCTGTGTCTCTAGCTGTGTCTCTAACTGTGTCTCTAGCTGTGTCTCTAACTGTGTCTGTAGCTGTGTCTTTAACTGTGTCTCTAGCTGTGTCTCCAGCTGTGTCTGTGTCTCTAGCTGTGTCTCCAGCTGTGTCTCTAGCTGTGTCTCCAGCTGTGTCTGTGTCTCCAGCTGTGTCTCCAGCTGTGTCTCTAGCTGTGTCTCCAGCTGTGTCTCCAGATGTGTCTCCAGATGTGTCTCCAGCTGTGTCTCCAGCTGTGTCTCCAGCTGTGTCTCTAGCTGTGTCTCCAGCTGTGTCTCTAACTGTGTCTCTAGCTGTGTCTCCAGCTGTGTCTCCAGCTGTGTCTCCAGCTGTGTCTGTAACTGTGTCTCCAGCTGTGTCTCCAGCTGTGTCTCTAGCTGTGTCTCCAGCTGTGTCTGTAGCTGTGTCTCCAGCTGTGTCTCTAGCTGTGTCTCCAGCTGTGTCTCTAGCTGTGTCTCCAGCTGTGTCTCCAGCTGTGTCTCTAGCTGTGTCTCTAGCTGTGTCTCTAACTGTGTCTCCAGCTGTGTCTGTAGCTGCGTCTGTAGCTGTGTCACTAGGTGTGTCACTAGGTGTGTCTGTAACTGTCCTTTTTCTGGCCATGCAAATTGAAAATCCCAATGTGGCCCTCAAGACAAAAAGTTTCCCCACCCCTGCCTTAGTGCTTCCATCCACAGACCATTCTTTAGTAAAACTAATGGAAATTGTGTGTCAAAAACCCACCTGAATGACTTGATCCTCATTGGTGATCTCTATGGCCTCCTGACTCTGTTCCAATGCTGTGAAGATAGCATTACATGCCCTGGGAAAGAGAGAGGGAGGGAGATGGAGGGAGGGGAGAGAGTAGGGGAAGGAGGGAGGGTGGGGAGAGAGGGAAAGAGAGAGGAGAGAGGGAGGGGAGGGAAAGAGAGAGGGTGGGGGAAGAGAAAGGGAGAGAGAGGGAGGGGTAGAGAGAGGGAAGGGTTAGAGAGAGAGAGAGAGGGGAGGGGGTCGATTAAGAGAGGAGGGGTTTAGTAGAGAGAGAGAGGAGAAGGGTTAGGTGAGAGGAGAGGGGAGAGAGATGGGAGAGAGAGAGCGAGGGAGAGAGAGAGAGAGCGAGAGAAAAGATGAGAGCGAGAGGCGAGAGAGAGAGAGAGAGAGAGGGATGGGAAGGGGTTAGAGAGAGAGATGGGAGAGAGAGAGCGAGAGAGAGAGAGAGCGGAGATGAGCGAGAGCGAGGAGAGAGAGCGGAGGGCGAGAGGAGAGCGAGGAGAGAGAGGAAGGGGAGGGGAGGGGAGAGAGAGAGAGAGAGAGACAGACGATGAAGAGAGAGGAAGAGAAGAGAGAGGAGAGACGAGAGAACGAGGAGAGAGGAAGAGAAGAGAAGAGAAGAGATGAGAGAGCAGAGCGATGAGAGAGAGAGAGAGAGGAGAGAGAGAGAGAGAGGAGAGAGATGAGAGAGAGGAGAGGGGGAGGAGAGAGAGAGACCAGAGAGAGGGGAGAGAGAGGAGGGGAGGGGAGGGGAGGGGAGGGGAGAGAGGGGAGGGGAGGGGAGAGGAGGGGGAGAGAGAGAGCGCGAGAGAGAGAAATAGTTGAAATGCACCTCTGAATGTAGAACAGGAGCTAAATTTAGATATGTGTACAGTACATAGCTGTAGAAAGAAAATTCTACTTTTTTAATCTCTGATTTTTAATCACACTCCAGCATCATTACAGGATTTGGGGGCAGCAAGCATTGAGTGGATCTGTATCTTCTCTCTATGATCTGGTTGTACATCGGTCACTTGGTGAGACACAGCTCACAGAAATGAGATGCTTGTCTCACTGTGTTCCCTTGAAGAACCGAGGCTGTGCAGGAAACAGTCTGCCTCCCCAGCCCCTAGCTGGTAAAGGTACTTCTTTAAACGGATAGTTTGGGATTTTGGCAATGCTAGCTGTTCCCATAGACTTCCAGTCATTGGGCTAACGCTAGTTAGCAACTTCTGCTAAACTAGAAGTAGATAAAGGGCCTCATTGCCAAAATCTTGAACTATCCCTTAAACATTCCCCTCAGTTTGAACTGTGCCCTTACTTCTGCTTGTGTGTGTGTGTGTTTGGGTGTGCTTGTGTGTGTTTGTGTTTGTGTGTGTGTCTCTCACCTCGGTTTGAACTGTGCCCTCACTTCTGCTTGTGTGTGTGTGTTTGGGTGTGCTTGTGTGTGTTTGTGTGTGTTTGTGTTTGTGTGTGTGTGTGTGTGTGTGTTTGGGTGTGTTTGGTTGTGCTTGTGTGTGTGTGTGTGTTTGGGTGTGCTTGTGTGTGTTTGTGTGTGTGTGTGTGTCCCTCACCTCAGTTTGAACTGTGCCCTCACTTCTGCTTGTGTGTGTGTGTTTGGGTGTGCTTGTGTGTGTTTGTGTGTGTTTGTGTTTGTGTGTGTGTGTGTGTGTGTGTTTGGGTGTGTTTGGTTGTGCTTGTGTGTGTGTGTGTGTTTGGGTGTGCTTGTGTGTGTTTGTGTGTGTGTGTGTGTGTCCCTCACCTCAGTTTGAACTGTGCCCTTACTTCTCCATGCTCCAGCTGTAGCAGCTCGTTGTAACAGGCCATCATGTTAGTGTTCTCCACGTATCTCTGTAGGGGGCAGAGGTCAGGGGTTAATACAGGTCAACAGGGGTCACCATGTTAGTGTTCTCCACGTATCTCTGTAGGGGGCAGAGGTCAGGGGTTAGAGGTCAGGGGTTAATACAGGTCAACAGGGGTCACCATGTTAGTGTTCTCCACGTATCTCTGTAGGGGGCAGAGGTCAGGGGTTAATACAGGTCAACAGGGGTCATCATGTTAGTGTTCTCCACGTATCTCTGTAGGGGGCAGAGGTCAGGGGTTAATACAGGTCAACAGGGGTCACCATGTTAGTGTTCTCCACGTATCTCTGTAGGGGGCAGAGGTCAGGGGTTAATACAGGTCAACAGGGGTCACCATGTTAGTGTTCTCCACGTATCACTGTAGGGGGCAGAGGTCAGGGGTTAATACAGGTCAACAGGGGTCACCATGTTAGTGTTCTCCACGTATCACTGTAGGGGGCAGAGGTCAGGGGTTAATACAGGTCAACAGGGGTCACCATGTTAGTGTTCTCCCTGTATCTCTGTAGGGGGCAGAGGTCAGGGGTTAAGACAGTGTTTATCTGTCTGCATCCCCAATGGCACCCTACTCACTACATAGTGTACTATTTTTTACCAGGGCCCATAGGGATCTATATAGGGAATAGGGTTCCATTTGGGATAGTGTTTCTCTATGAGTGTCAAAGGTCAGGGGTTAATACAATGTGCGTCCCAAATGGCACCCAATTCCCTTCACAGTGCACTACTTTTGACCGGGATCAAAGGTCAAGGGGTTACACGGTTCAACATGGATCACCAAACCTGAACATGGTTCACGTATCTTTGTTTACTTACACGCGTTTGATCTAGAACAGGCCCTTAACCTTAACCACAGATCTAGGGTCAGATTACCGTACCTCCAATCCTAACCCATAGCAATTATGTGGACGAGAATATATCTGACCCAGAATCAGTGGTTAGGAGTGACTTCTACCTACTCCTTAATGTACAGTAGACATGGTCTCATAGAGTAGGTGTTTTGATGTTAACAAAAGACATCCACCCAAGCGGGCACATGTTGTCGAAAAGACGTCACAGTGACATACTGTCAACCAGTTTCTGTCATGTCAGGTGACACAGTGCACTGTAACTCCTTAACTATGTCATGAGTGACAAACTCAAACCCTCAAGACGTCACTGCAGGGCACCGGTCATATTCGTCTTTAAGCTCCGTCTCACGAGTAGTCCCGACTTATTCACCATCTGAGAGTCTGAGAGCACACGGAACACAAAGTAACCTCCAGCAGGCTTGGCTGCATCCTGAACGGCAGCCTATATCCTAAGTAGTGCACTACTTTTGACCAGGGACCATAGGGAACAGGGTGCCATTTGGAACGCAGGCCTTGTTATCATGATTAATGTTAGCTGTGACCTGGATGGAGTGTTTACACAGCCATTAGCGGCTAGTGGGAACTAGAGTAAGGTACAGTCAGATCCACGTTTGGGTGCGAACAGCAGACGTGATCGTGTGTGTGTGTGTGGCGGAGGGTGGGGGGGTTGACTGTGTGTGTGTGTGTGTGTGTGTGTGTGTGTGTGTAGGGGTGGGGTGACTGTGTGTGTGTGTGTGTGTGTGTGTGTGTGTGTGGCGGAGGGTGACTGTGTGTGTGTGTGTGTGTGTGTAGGGGTGGGGTGACTGAGTGTGTGTGTGTTTCACTCACCCTATTAAAGCCAGCATTGATAAGAGGCATCACTGAGGCCTCCTCCCTGTCCGGCCTACAACAGCAAAAACCAAAACCATCAACAAAACTTCTCTATAACTAAAGCTCAGTGTGGAGAGAAAGCATCAGATAAAATATGACATGTTCCAGATCACTCTCTGTACTGCCTCCATACTGACTGGTATATAGATGGAGACTATGATCATACTGACTGGTATATAGATGGAGACTATGATCATACTGACTGGTATATAGATGGAGACTATGATCATACTGACTGGTATATAGATGGAGACTATCTATCAGGACATAAAGAAAGGGGGGAGACATACCTTTTTACTACAGCAACTATCACAGTGTTTTCTGAAGAGGTCACCGCCCTGATCGACCTGAAAGGAAAACAAAGACACACATTTATCATTTAGCTAGAAAACACACTGGTGGAAACAGCCACAGAGCCATCAAATCAATGTAGCTCCAGTTATTCAAGTTCTGGATAAAGACTAAGAGGACTAGGCTCTGTGGTGCAGCTCTGTGAGCAGGACTAGGTTCTGTGGTGCAGCTCCATGAGCAGGCCTAGGCCCTGTGGTGCAGCTCAATGAGCAGGCCTAGGCCCTGTGGCGCAGCGCCGTGAGCAGGACTAGGCCCAGTGAAAGAATGCAGTGTAGCAGTCGTGGTCATCCGGCTGTGGTTTCTCTTCAGCCAGTCACCATAAAGAAGCTTTAGTTCTCCACAGAGAGCCCTGCGTGTACACTAAACCTATAGACTGGCCAAGATGAATAAGGTTAACATACAGGCTATGGCCAGAGTCAATTAATGTTTGTAAACTTGTTTTTGGTTTGGGCCCGGGCTAAAGATAGAGTGGTGTGTGGAGGGGGAGGAGGAGGGAGAGTTGTTGGTCGTTGAGAAGGGACCTGACTTCACCAGGTAGCAAGGGACCTAGGTCTGAGGCCAGTCACGCCGCAGAAACTAGAAAGCCCCTCGTTCCAATTAGGGAAACCCATCCAGTGAGGATGCTGCATTAGGTGGGTCTCAACATTTGTCTCTGTGTGTGGAAACAGTGTTCGGAACACAGTATTGTCTAGCACATAGAAAAATAGGTATTTTGACCTCAATGGGACAAACAGGTCAAATAAAGGATTTTATTAGTTAATATTAACGTAACCAACCGGCATAGTAACATACCAGCATAGTAAGGTCACCTGCCGGCATAGTAAGGTCACCTGCCGGCATAGTAAGGTCACCTGCCGGCATAGTAAGGTCACCTACCGGCATAGTAAGGTCACCTACCGGCATAGTAAGGTCACCTACCGGCATAGTAAGGTCACCTGCCGGCATAGTAAGGTCACCTGCCGGCATAGTAAGGTCACCTACCGGCATAGTAAGGTCACCTGCCGGCATAGTAAGGTCACCTGCCGGCATAGTAAGGTCACCTGCCGGAATAGTAAGGTCACCTGCCGGCATAGTAAGGTCACCTTCCGGCATAGTAAGGTCACCTACCGGCATAGTAAGGTCACCTGCCGGCATAGTAAGGTCACCTGCCGGCATAGTAAGGTCACCTGCCGGCATAGTAAGGTCACCTGCCGGCATAGTAAGGTCACCTGCCGGCATAGTAAGGTCACCTACCGGCATAGTAAGGTCACCTACCGGCATAGTAAGGTCACCTGCCGGCATAGTAAGGTCACCTGCCGGCATAGTAAGGTCACCTACCGGCATAGTAAGGTCACCTACCGGCATAGTAAGGTCACCTGCCGGCATAGTAAGGTCACCTGCCGGCATAGTAAGGTCACCTACCGGCATAGTAAGGTCACCTGCCGGCATAGTAAGGTCACCTGCCGGACATAGTAAGGTCACCCTGCCGGCATAGTAAGGTCACCCTGCCGGCAATAGTAAGGTCACCTGCCGGCATAGTAAGGTCACCTACCGGCATAGTAAGGTCACCTACCGGCATAGTAAGGTCACCTGCCGGCCATAGTAAGGTCACCGCTGCCGGCATAGTAAGGTCACCTGCCGGCATAGTAAGGTCACCCTCCGGCATAGTAAGGTCACCTACCGGCATAGTAAGGTCATCCTGGCCGGCATAGTAAGGTCACCTACCGGCAATAGTAAGGTCACCTGCCGGCATAGTAAGGTCACCTGCCGGCATAGTAAGGTCACCTGCCGGCATAGTAAGGTCACCTACCGGCATAGTAAGGTCACCTACCGGCATAGTAAGGTCACCTGCCGGCATAGTAAAGGTCACCTGCCGGCATAGTAAGGTCACCTGCCGGCATAGTAAGGTCACCTGCCGGCATAGTAAGGTCACCTGCCGGCATAGTAAGTCACCTACCGGCATAGTAAGGTCACCTGCCGGCATAGTAAGGTCACCTGCCGGCATAGTAAGGTCACCTGCCGGCATAGTAAGGTCACCTGCCGGCATAGTAAGGTCACCTGCCGGCATAGTAAGGTCACCTACCGGCATAGTAAGGTCACCTACCGGCATAGTAAGGTCACCTGCCGGCATAGTAAGGTCACCTGCCGGCATAGTAAGGTCACCTGCCGGCATAGTAAGGTCACCTACCGGCATAGTAAGGTCACCTGCCGGCATAGTAAGGTCACCTACCGGCATAGTAAGGTCACCTACCGGCATAGTAAGGTCACCTGCCGGCATAGTAAGGTCACCTGCCGGCATAGTAAGGTCACCTACCGGCATAGTAAGGTCACCTACCGGCATAGTAAGGTCACCTTGCCGGCATAGTAAGGTCACCTGCCGGCATAGTAAGGTCACCTACCGGCATAGTAAGGTCACCTGCCGGCATAGTAAGGTCACCTGCCGGCATAGTAAGGTCACCTACCGGCATAGTAAGGTCACCTACCGGCATAGTAAGGTCACCTACCGGCATAGTAAGGTCAGCTGCCGGCATAGTAAGGTCACCTGCCGGTCAATAGTAAGGTCACCTGCCGGCATAGTAAGGTCACCTACCGGCATAGTAAGGTCACCAACCGGCATAGTAAGGTCACCTACCGGCATAGTACGGTCACCTACCGGCATAGTAAGGTCACCTACCGGCATAGTAAGGTCACCTGCCGGCATAGTAAGGTCACCTACCGGCATAGTAAGGTCACCTACCGGCATAGTATGGTCACCTACCGGCATAGTAAGGTCACCTACCGGCATAGTAAGGTCACCTACCGGCATAGTATGGTCACCTACCGGCATAGTAAGGTCACCTACCGGCATAGTAAGGTCACCTGCCGGCATAGTAAGGTCACCTACCGGCATAGTAAGGTCACCTGCCGGCATAGTAAGGTCACCTACCTGCATAGTAAGGTCACCTACCGGCATAGTAAGGTCACCTACCGGCATAGTAAGGTCACCTACCGGCATAGTAAGGTCACCTGCCGGCATAGTAAGGTCACCTACCGGCATAGTAAGGTCACCTACCGGCATAGTAAGGTCACCTGCCGGCATAGTAAGGTCACCTGCCGGCATAGTAAGGTCACCTACCGGCATAGTAAGGTCACCTGCCGGCATAGTAAGGTCACCTGCCGGCATAGTAAGGTCACCTACCGGCATAGTACGGTCACCTACCGCCATAGTAAGGTCACCTACCGGCATAGTGCTTCAACATGAAGGTATCAGAACGAGCATATACCTAACCTACTGATATAACAAGGTAACATACCGGCATATACCTAACCTACTGATATAACAAGGTAACGTACCGGCATAGTGCTTCAGCGTCAAAGTATCTGGAATGTCTGTGGTCGATGATGACGAGGTCGTGGTGCTTTTCCAGGAAACACTCCAGCGCCACCTCTGGCGTCCTCGCCACGTTACACCTGAAGTTGGCCTTCTCACACGCCCAGCAGAACCCATTATTCTGGCTGTCCTCTTTGGCAAATACTAACAGTACCTGTAGGGGAGAGGTTAGGGGTTAGAAGTCAAATTCTAACAGTACCTGTAAGGGGAGAGGTTAGGGGTTAGAGGTCAAATACTAACAGTACCTGTAAGGGGAGAGGTTAGGGGTTAGAGGTCAAATACTAACAGTACCTGTAAGGGGAGACACTGTGCGCACACACAACCACACAAACACACAGTCAGAGAGCATACACACACACCCTCCTACCAAGCAGCATACTTTCATATTACCCCTTGCTTGCGTTAATCCATGGCTTCAGATTTAAGCGGGCATCCAGGTTTCGCTGCGGCACACACACACACACACACACACACACACACACACACACACACACACACACACACAGAGCGGGCAGCTAGCTAGATGAGTCACTGGGCCTAACAGACGTCATCGTGGACCAGTTGGCAGGAGCCACAATCAACATACAGAATGGGAAGTTTGTTCAGCAGTCTTACGGTTTGCATCACAACTGCAAAATGGAGTTAAAGGTACAAAGACGTCTCTCTGTTCACTTAAAGTCCAGGAGGCCGGGAGCCAGGAGGCCAGGAGCTAGGCGGCCAGGAGGCTAGTGCTCTGTCAGTTCATATGCTCTGTGTGTGTGTGTGTGTGTGTGTGTGTGTGTAGTTTTTGGAAAGTTTTCAGAGCTTTTCAGTAATAAGCACAATTAATATTAGCAGGACAGATGTGCAGCGCAGTTGTGTTCAGCAGTGGGAAGGAAGCGCCACACACCGCCTGCATCAGCTGGTGAGCTGCACGGGAGCAAGCGATGAGTGTGGGCAGACAGGCTCCGCCTCCGATTATACACATCGTGCAGGCGACATTCTTGCTTCACCTTTGCTAATAACTAGTCACCAACAGCCGTCTAGTTAGTGACCCTTTGTCTGGAGCTGAAATTTACTAAATGAAAAACAATAGCAGCATTGAGTTTAATAGTAAAACAACAGTCTAGCTATGTTTTTCTCTCCCTTGAGTAGACTATAGAAAAAGTAGGCTGTCTTTGAATTTGTACTCTAGCCCTCACACTTTTCCCGCTGCATTTCATAGCCAGGTTCTGCAGCCAACGTAGCCAAGTCTCCCTGCAGCCAACGTAGCCACGTCTTGATTCTAGCCGGCGCTACGTCTTTTTCTTTCTATAGCTCATTTGTTTAGGCTAAACCTTACCACTAAATAACTCCTCTTACCACTACACTATATCTGACTGGGTTAATAACTCCTCTTACCACTACACTATATCTGACTGGGTTAATAACTCCTCTTACCACTAGACTATATCTGACTGGTTAATAACTCCTCCCACCACTACACTATATCTGACTGGGTTAATAACTCCTCTTACCACTACACTATATCTGACTGGGTTAATAACTCCTCTTACCACTACACTATATCTGACTGGTTAATAACTCCTCTTACCACTACACTATATCTGACTGGGTTAATAACTCCTCTTACCACTACACTATATCTGACTGGGTTAATAACTCCTCTTACCACTACACTATATCTGACTGGTTAATAACTCCTCTTACCACTACACTATATCTGACTGGGTTAATAACTCCTCTTACCACTACACTATATCTGACTGGGTTAATAACTCCTCTTACCACTACACTATATCTGACTAGTTAATAACTCCTCTTACCACTACACTATATCTGACTGGGTTAATAACTCCTCTTACCACTACACTATATCTGACTGGGTTAATAACTCCTCTTACCACTACACTATATCTGACTGGGTTAATAACTCCTCTTACCACTACACTAGATCTGACTGGATTAATAACTCCTCTTACCACTACACTATATCTGACTGGTTAATAACTCCTCTTACCACTACACTATATCTGACTGGGTTAATAACTCCTCTTACTACTACACTATATCTGACTAGTTAATAACTCCTCTTACCACTACACTATATCTGACTGGGTTAATAACTCCTCTTACCACTACACTATATCTGACTGGGTTAATAACTCCTCTTACCACTACACTATATCTGACTGGTTAATAACTCCTCCCACCACTACACTATATCTGACTGGTTAATAACTCCTCTTACCACTACACTATATCTGACTGGTTAATAACTCCTCTTACCACTACACTAGATCTGACTGGTTAATAACTCCTCTTACCACTACACTATATCTGACTGGTTAATAACTCCTCTTACCACTACACTATATCTGACTGGGTTAATAACTCCTCTTACCACTACACTATATCTGACTGGGTTAATAACTCCTCTTACCACTACACTATATCTGACTGGTTAATAACTCCTCTTACCACTACACTATATCTGACTGGGTTAATAACTCCTCTTACCACTACACTATATCTGACTGGGTTAATAACTCCTCTTACCACTACACTATATCTGACTGGGTTAATAACTCCTCTTACCACTACACTATATCTGACTGGTTAATAAACTCCTCCCACCACTACACTATATCTGACTGGTTAATAACTCCTCTTACCACTACACTATATCTGACTGGGTTAATAACTCCTCTTACCACTACACTATATCTGACTGGTTAATAACTCCTCCCACCACTACACTATATCTGACTGGTTAATAACTCCTCTTACCACTACACTATATCTGACTGGGTTAATAACTCCTCTTACCACTACACTATATCTGACTGGGTTAATAACTCCTCTTACCACTACACTATATCTGACTGGGTTAATAACTCCTCTTACCACTACACTATATCTGACTGGTTAATAACTCCTCCCACCACTACACTATATCTGACTGGTTAATAACTCCTCTTACCACTACACTATATCTGACTGGGTTAATAACTCCTCTTACCACTACACTATATCTGACTGGTTAATAACTCCTCTTACCAATACACTATATCTGACTGGGTTAATAACTCCTCTTACCACTACACTATATCTGACTGGGTTAATAACTCCTCTTACCACTACACTATATCTGACTGGGTTAATAACTCCTCTTACCACTACACTATATCTGACTGGTTAATAACTCCTCTTACCACTACACTATATCTGACTGGTTAATAACTCCTCTTACCACTACACTATATCTGACTGGTTAATAACTCCTCTTACCACTACACTATATCTGACTGGTTAATAACTCCTCTTACCACTACACTATATCTGACTGGGTTAATAACTCCTCTTACCACTACACTATATCTGACTGGTTAATAACTCCTCTTACCACTACACTATATCTGACTGGGTTAATAACTCTTACCACTACACTATATCTGACTGGGTTAATAACTCCTCTTACCACTAGACTCTATCTGACTGGTTAATAACTCCTCTTACCACTAGACTATATCTGACTGGGTTAATAACTCCTCTTACCACTACACTATATCTGACTGGTTAATAACTCCTCTTACCACTACACTATATCTGACTGGGTTAATAACTCCTCTTACCACTACACTATATCTGACTGGGTTAATAACTCCTCTTACCACTACACTATATCTGACTGGGTTAATAACTCCTCTTACCACTACACTATATCTGACTGGGTTAATAACTCCTCTTACCACTACACTATATCTGACTGGTTAATAACTCCTCTTACCACTACACTATATCTGACTGGGTTAATAACTCCTCTTACCACTACACTATATCTGACTGGGTTAATAACTCCCCTTACCACTACACTATATCTGACTGGTTAATAACTCCTCTTACCACTAACACTAAGATCTGTACTGGGTTAATAACTCCTCTTACCACTACACTATATCTGACTGGTTAATAACTCCTCTTACCACTACACTATATCTGACTGGGTTAATAACTCCTCCCTACCACTACACTATATCTGACTGGGTTAATAACTCCTCTTACCACTACACTATATCTGACTGGGTTAATAACTCCTCTTACCACTAGACTATATCTGACTGGGTTAATAACTCCTCTTACCACTAACTATATCTGACTATATCTGACTGGGTTAATAACTCCTCTTACCACTACACTATATCTGACTGGTTAATAACTCCTCTTACCACTACACTATATCTGACTGGGTTAATAACTCCTCTTACCACTACACTATATCTGACTGGTTAATAACTCCTCTTACCACTACACTATATCTGACTGGGTTAATAACTCCTCCCACCACTACACTATATCTGACTGGGTTAATAACTCCTCTTACCACTACACTATATCTGACTGGTTAATAACTCCTCTTACCACTACACTATATCTGACTGGGTTAATAACTCCTCTTACCACTACACTATATCTGACTGGGTTAATAACTCCTCTTACCACTACACTATATCTGACTGGGTTAATAACTCCTCTTACCACTACACTATATCTGACTGGGTTAATAACTCCTCTTACCACTACACTATTTCTGACTGGTTAATAACTCCTCTTACCATTACACTATATCTGACTGGTTAATAACTCCTCTTACCACTACACTATATCTGACTGGGTTAATAACTCCTCTTACCACTATCAATCAATCAATCAATCAATTTTATTTTATATAGCCCTTCTTACATCAGCTAATATCTCGAAGTGCTGTACAGAAACCCAGCCTAAAACCCCAAACAGCTAGTAATGCAGGTGTAGAAGCACGGTGGCTAGGAAAAACTCCCTAGAAAGGCAAAACCTAGGAAGAAACCTAGAGAGGAACCAGGCTATGAGGGGTGGCCAGTCCTCTTCTGGCTGTGCCGGGTGGAGATTATAACAGAACCATGCCAAGATGTTCAAAAATGTTCATAAGTGACAAGCATGGTCAAATAATAATCAGGAATAAATCTCAGTTGGCTTTTCATAGCCGATCATTAGAGTTTAAAACAGCAGGTCTGGGACAGGTAGGGGTTCCATAACCGCAGGCAGAACAGTTAAATGGAATGCAGCAAGGCAGGCGATGGGGACGCAAGGCAGTCCACCACTGGCGGTTAGTCCATACGTATCGGTTGGGACGAGGTTGGTGAAATTGGAAGCTCAATCGATTTCCCATAGACTTCCAGTCATTGGGCTAAGCTTAGTTAGTTAGCAAGTTCTGCTAAACTAGAAGTAGATAAAGGGACTCCGCATGCAAAAATGTGAACTATCCCTTAAACATTCCTCGCAGTTTGAAATGTGCCTTACTTCTGCTTGTGTGGGTGTGTGTGGGGTGCTTGTGTTGTGTTTGTGTTGCGTGTGTGTT